TAATGTCAATAACTCCATTATAGCTGATACATTTAGTCTTATTTGATGTAGACACCAAAACTAACAACAATGATATGAGTCGTGGAGTGTTCATCACTGGAACGACGTCCAAAAAGATACGCTCATAATTGTTAGAGAGTTTAACGTTAATTTTAGAAGAAACTTACAATATAGCTATTTTGATGGAAATGGCAGAGTTCAACGTTCAGGTTTATGCAAATCAAAATCCAACACTCGGCGTTGGTTACTCTACCTGGTAACTATCAATTAGGGTGGCCGTACACAGAAAGAGCAAGACTGTTTTAGTCAAAAACGTTTTTGTTTGAAATGAAAACGTTTTTGTTTCCACAAGAAACATTTTGTTTTCAAGAGAAACAAAATGTTTGCACAAACCATACTACAATCAGTTTTATTAAAGATGTCGACAGATAACGACGAAATTGCACTAGTTTTTTGGCAGTGGTTCCTTCTACAGGACGAAAAAACGCAAAATAAAAGACAATTTTGGGTGCATCCTATAAACGAGAAAAGAACTGCTAAAAAACTCTCCAGTCTTTGCTCAAAGAATTCATTGTCTTTTAATTGATAGTTATATAAAGGAGGTCTAGCCTCAATCAGTAAAATTAATTTTTATGCGCCAACTTTTATGATACACACAATATAAACAAGCAAAATATCGCTGTTTCCACATGTGCTTCTTGTTGACTACACGAGCGGTTTCAAGAAAGGAATTACAAAAACACGTTGCGCCTGCGTACATTGAAATGTTTCGATACAAAAGGACGATCTGGTAATTAACATCAAACACACTGACTGAAACTAAATGAGCCTATAGATGCTTTAGACACACGACTAATCAGTGTGCGTCAGCTCATTTCATTTACATGGAAACATCAGCATCAGACTCGTTTAGTCAAGAACGTTTTTGACTAAAGCAGTTCTGCTCTTTCTGCGTGCGGCCAACCTTAGAGTCACAGAGCCCTCCAACGAATTCTGAAAGTGTCACTGTGACAGCTGCTACCAAGTCTAGTGCTAACTCTTTTAAGTCAAGATACAAATGTTTCTTCTGCGGTAGACCAATATTTCCAAGGAAGAACTATCCTGCTCGGGAATCTGTAAATCCTGTGATAAAAGAGGGCTCTGTGCAAAGGTTTGCTGCTCCAAAAACACTAGTGCGTCTGTCAACGTATTTAAAGACTACGGTCACTGCACAGCTTGCATTATTGCTGCTACTTCTGCTTCATTGAAGTGTTTGTTCTACTCTGTGTCCTTTTTGTTACAATAGACGACTCATTTCTGTACCTATATTTTCATCATCATCATCATCAGCTAAGTAGCTTGACAATCCGTTGTGGATCTTGGCCTGCTCACATAAGTCGCCACTCCTGTCGATTCCTGGCAACTTCCCTCCGTAGATCTTCTTCCCCATCATCAATCCATCTCATTCGTGGTCGTCCTCTGCTTCTTGTGCCCTCTGTTTTTGAAAATGTTAATCTCTTCATGTATTCGTGATCTGACATCCTAGCAATGTGTCCAGCCCATCTAAGTCTCTGCACTTTAACGAATTTCGCAATATCTGGATCGGTGAATAACTGATATAGTTCAAAGTTGTATCTTTGACGCTATGCCCATTTTCATTTACGGCCCCAAAAATCTTTCTAAGAATTTTTCTCTCAAAAATACCAAGAAGTCTTTTATCATTTTGAGATAAGGTCCACGTTTCAGCCCCATATATCAAAACCGGTCTTATTAAGGTCTTGTATATATTATTCTGTATATTTTATTTATTACAAAAACATACTAATACATAATTATCTCTAAAAAGCTATAAGACCAGTCCCTCGACTGTCAATGTGTCCTTCTGTTTCACCCCTGGGCTTCTTCTTCTATTTGACATGTCACTAATGCTATGGTAGGTTTACAAATATTAAAGTAGATTTACAACTTAACACACAATAACATCAAAAAAGCTATAGTATCTACGTTTATAAAAGACCTTCGTGCCGATACTTTTATAGATACTGATAGCTCCATCAGTTCCGTACCTCGGAGGTAAAGGACACTATGTCCATTTTCTTACTTTTTAAGGAGAGCAGTTTAAAGATTTTTAAATTTGTAATCAGTAAATACTCAAATGTTTCCGATATTTAACCAAAATTAATATAATATATTAATTTTGGTTAAATATCAGAAACATTTGAGTATTTACTGATTACAAATTTAAAAAATGTTAAAACTGCTCTCCTTAAAAAGTAAGAAAATGGACATAGTGTCCTTTACCTCCGAGGTACGGAGTTTTGTTAATTAAGACTTTGCTAACCTATGCAAACTTCCTAGAAAACTATATATGAAGACTGTTTCTATGACCTCGTTACCTAATTACTCAAGTCAGTCTAGTTTGAATTTGGAGAAACTAAAGAAGTCTTCAAGGTATGTAGGATAGTTAAAGTTTCAGTTTTTGCAGTTCATTTATTTTATAACCTGACTTAGAATTGTAAACCGATCGCAGTAAAATCACGCAGGTACAGTGCTGAGGATAAGATTTTTATTAAAAACGAGGCGAAGAAGCTTTTAAATGATGGCAATGTTTTGAAAATCTAAAATCAATCGTCGTATTGCTGATACTTTGAGTCAGGATTCCAGACCCGTTGCTTTCTTTTCAAGATCGCTTAACTCTAGCGAGCTTAACTATTCTGCTGTGGAGAAAGCAAATTCTGCTATCGTTGAATATCTAAAAAGTGGCGTCATTTTCTTATAGGAAATGTCTGTAACATTTATGTTACAGCCAAGCATTGCAGCAAGAACAAAAATGAAAAATACAAAGATGGCGACTTGAATTGGCATCTTATAAATATGACACGTATATCGACCAGGAAACTGCTACGATGGCAGGTGCATCAAAACTTAAATCAGTTCATACAGCTCTTTCTCACCCAGGGGTAACACGCATGTTTCATTGGATAAAATCAAAGAATTTACATCTCTCGATGAACTCTAGGCTACAACTCGTGACTGTCAAGTATGTGCTAAATTTAAGCCGAGGTACTTTAATAATGGAATCCTCTCTCGAAGCTTATAAAAGTCACGTTTCCATTCGAGCGTCTTAGTATCGACTTTAAAGGACTAGTCTTTTCGAATATTGATAATCGTTATATTCTTGCGGTAATAGATGAGTATTCCAGTTTACCATTTGCTTTCCCATTTAGTTACTTTAGTGCCAAAACGGTAATTAAGAATTTAAATAACTTATTCATGATACTTGGGATGCCTGCATACATCCATTCGGATAGAGGTACCTAATTTCTATCAGCTGGATTTAAAGAGTTTCCCAACTCCAGAGGGATAGCTACGAGTAAAACAGCTGCTTATAATCCTTAAGGAAATGGTCAAAAAGAAAAGTTGAATTCTACTGTCTGAAAAGCTATTCAACTGGCCTGTGAATCACATGAAGCACCTATTGACACTTAGGATTAATACCTAAAAGTGCGCTGCATTCCATTAGTTCATTGTTATATACCGCCACTAACTGTACGCCGCATGGAAGAATGTTCATGCATACACGTCGATCTACAAATGGGAATACAATACCATTATGGTGAGCAGTATCAGGACATATCTTGATGAAAAGGCTCGATCGTAAAAACCAGTACTAACCCATCTTAGATGAAGTATAGGTAATCGAAGCAAATCCTGAGTACTTACTCTTTTGTTAACCTGAAAGATGGACAGGAGACCACAATCTCTAATCTTCATATTTTGGCTCCAATTGGACAAGGTGAAGGAGAAATATAAGATATACCACAGGTCTAGAATCTGTGTTTGTAGAGGTCCATATGAGTTACATTTGAGCCTAAATGGCCTCATCCAATTCTACAACCACGCAAAACATGGTGCGTGGTTACCTAAAACAAATTCATTACTTCTTAGAACTCACGAGTCCTAGTCTTGACTTCATCGAGCCAAGAAATGAAAATTCTTTGACTTTATCCAATGAAATATGCGTGTTACCAAAGTGTAATGAAATGACAAAGTACTTGGTCACTCCCGGAGTATCACATCTTGTTTTTTTTTATTTTTCTTTTATTAAATTATTTTATTTTAATTTATTTTGTTTTATTCTATTTTATTTTATTCTATTGAAGCGGTTAAAGAGTTCATATATCTAGGGACATCGGTTAACCCCAATAATAATACATCAGATGAAATGAAAAGGCGAATCATAATTATTGCTAACAGGTCTTATCATGGTCGATCAAAGTACTTAGCTAACAAATTTATGTCTCAAAAAACTTGTATAGAAGACTGCAAAGAACACTGAGAATCCTCATTCTTACATTATGGAGCAGAGGCATAAGTTTGGTGGGAAAGCTATTACCCCTGTAATCAAGCATAACCGTCTACAGTGGGTAGGACATGTAGCTAGGGCCTCTGAATCGAACATAATAAAAAAGATTCACTTTCAAGATTCACACCTCAAAAATGTAACACATAATGCTGAGAAGTTCGGTTTTGCCAACTGGAAAATCCAAGCAAGGAACAGAGCAGAAAGACGAAAAAAGCCTAAGAAGGTCGAGGTCATTGTCTAGCATCATGATGATAATTATTTTATTTTATTATATTTTATATTTTTTCGTCTTATTGTGCCGTCTCTCGACTTATTACCTTTTCAACGAGTTTCTTGTACACAAAATACACAAATCCTTTTCTGCATGAAATCGGCGAGCTCTCTTCCTTTACTTGTCATGCTTCCGACGGTGAGAGTTGCAACTGCCAGGACTAGTTTCTTTGGCCCATTCCGTCCTCTAAGGGGTAGCTCACTTTTCCCCAACGCCCTAGCTTCTAAACTATTTTTATATTCCTTCTTTTCATGGTTTTAGTAAGGTTTTTACTGCCGGATGCCCTTCCTGATTTGGTATTTAATTTTATCATATTATTTTTGTTGATATGCCTACCCAAAAGTTACTATGTACTTTGTTATTTTTTTTTATGAAATGTGCACCAACATTTAAATATTTATTTTTTACTCAAACTACTATTACATAACATATATTAAAGTAATTTACAGATAAAAATACTTTTTAAATATCACAAGACACTTCGCATGAAATTACATTAACTTTTTACATGTCAACAAGGTGTTCCTTAGATTGTGATTCAGTCGCAGTAGGCGTATCATTATTAAGTGGTTCATCCTTCATTTCACCATCGAATGTAGTCTCCATCTCATCGTCTTCCATTTTGCTACCCTCTATTATTTCCAAAATTTTATCCTCTTGATCAGCCTGCAATAAAAAAATGTACTAAATAAGTGATTCTTGACATTATACATATTTTAAGGATGTATTAATAAATATTATATATGTAATAAAACTTTATAGAGTCTTCATTCTTTTTACGAAAAAAAAAAACAAACAAACTAAATATAAGTGCAGAAACGGACATTTATTCTATAAATTAAGTCAGCGTATAAGAAATAGTAGACATACTTTAAATAAATTGCTAGTTTGGGAACGTAAAATCCTTTGAGTAGGGGAGTCCGGGGCTAGTCGCCACAGGGGTAAGTTGTCACAATGCCGATTGTTACCTTATTTGTGAAGTTAACATGCTGCGACATCTACATGCGAAAGGTCTTACACAGCTCCAATTCCACATAAAATATCTCAGAGATAGGCCAGTCATTATTTCCCTTATTTGTAAAAATGTGTTTTGACGCTTTTCATGTAAAATTTTTAATCTTCAATCATCTCCTGCTGTGAGTGAATTTGTAAAATCAAGGAAAGGAAAATAAATTTTAAAGAGTACTGTCAACCTTGTAGATTACATTATGTAGGTTGAAGCATGTTTAAAATTTCCTCAATTATTCCTCTCAGAAAATTACTTTCACGCCACCTATGTCCATAGACTTTGCTAGATCTATTAGAAATAACCCTTAAGCAACGAGCGATTTGTCACGCTTGCTCGCAACATCGAAACGTATCATAGTATCTGTTTCTTTCTCTTATTATCTTTCGTTAGCTAAATAGAAAGTCTTCCTCGAAAGAGTTCGTTCCTATTGTCAAACTTGTATGCCAGATTTGTTTTATATGTATTTTATATTTATTAAAGATTTTATACACATATTTGAGGTGATCACAATCAAACATTTCAGTAACTTCATATGTTCACGTATTCTCAAGGCGTAAAAATCACTCATTTGTTTTATTTCAAGTTTTATCAAATATAATCATAATATACTAAAGATAGAGATAGAAGATACTAAATTAATCATAATTATTTTTCAGAAAATATTATTCGTTGTATTTAATAATAAATGGCGCAGTAACTTATTTCTTGCTATTTAACTGTTCAATAAAATTTTTATAGAGCATTTACTTTTTAACTATACCTCAAAATAACCCCGTTGATGAACTATTTGCCTTATATATTTTTTTAAACTTTGAAAGATTAAAGGCAAATATCGAGCACAATTTTAATAATCAAATCTTGCCCAAGTACTTTCGCTTTCTACAGCATCATCAAGTGCATTTCGTCAAATTTGGGCTATTCAGCAAGCGCAGAATATAATAAACATGAAATTGAACATAAATAGTACACAACACTACATTAAAACAAGGACAAACAGTTTAAAATTATTTAAAAATTATTCTACGCCCTACATTCTTGTCGGCACTGTTGCCGCTGCGAGCTGCTTTTACAGCCGTTCCATACTTGTAGCATTTTATAGAAAATCGAAAGGTTGGTACAACAAAGAGATTTAATATATAGATTGTATTATTCATAACTTTAGACATCCCAGTGTTGCCAAATTATGCACAATTTTTAGAAAAAACGTTAATTTAATAACATTTCGTTCCGATATATTACAAATGATTTTAATTTTTTTTTTATTAAAATACTTTATAATAAATAAAAAAAAAATAATTTTTTTTGAAAAAATCATAACTCAAAAATCTTACGTGTTAGGAAGTTTTTATCATCGTATTCATGTTCATCATGTTGTATCATCAAGCAAATTATTCAAGATGTCACTGTACTCAATAAACTATCAGTAGGAAGCGACCACAGACCAGTAAGAGCTAGAGTAACGATCAATCTACAAAAAGAAAGAGCAAAGATGATAAACAGTTGTAAACGCATAGTTTGGAATTCACCAAATCATCCAGAAGCATATATAAGAAATATAGCCGAAACTTTACAGAGTAATAATCCCAAACCTCTAAGTATCGACGATCACAATAAATTAATAACAGACTCAGTTAGAAACGCACAACTCAAATTTTGCAAGAAAAATGACACCACAAGTGCAAAGATTAGCAAAGATACAAGGGCTCTCATGGAATTACGACGAAACCTAAGCGAGAACGAAAAGGGAAACAAAGAAGAATATAAAAAACTAAATAAAAGAATTTCAGCGGAAATTAGAAAAGATGTAAGAAGATATAATACTAATGTAATTACTCAAACAGTAGAAGAGAACAAAGGTTTAAAGATAATGAAAAGAAAACTTACGCAAAGTAAAAAAGAAATATACAAGCTGAGAGATAAAGACGGAAAGGCAACAACAGATAAACAAAACATTCTGAAAATAACTAGAGAATTTTATAAAGACCTCTATACCAGCCAAAGACCACAAGACAATTTCCCGACACAAGTAAAGACTCTCATAAATCAGGGATCGGAAATACTTTTACCCATTACTGTGTCAGAAGTAAGAGCAGCTTTAAAGGAAATGAAGAACCATCGATCGCCTGGTGATGATGGACTCGTTATCGAGGCAATAAAAGCAGGTGGAGAAATTTTATTAAAATCAGTAAGCTAACTGTTTACTAAATGCTTACATGCGGGTACGATTCCAAAAGACTGGAACAATGCAGTAATAGTCTTGTTACACAAAAAAGGCGATATTACTAAATTAGAAAATTATAGACCCATCAGCCTCTTGACACATATGTACAAACTTTTTATGATAATCTTAACAAAGAGGCTAACACCTAAACTTGATTTCTATCAGCCCAAAGAACAGGCAGGCTTTAAGGCAGGATATGGCACAAATGACCATTTGCATACCATAAAGATCTTAATAGAAAAGTGCATCGAGTACAACATACCACTGGTTCTTGCATTTGTCGATTACGAGAAGGCTTTTGATTCTGTAGAGTTTGAAACAATACTGGAAGCCCTAAATCAAAGCCGAATAGATTACAGGTACACGACACTAATCAAAAACATCTATCAGAACGCTACATCAAGTATACGACTGCACGAAGACACAGAAAAATTCAGCTTAGGACGAGGAGTTAGACAAGGAGACAATATTTCACCAAAATTGTTCACGGCAGCTCTAGAGTCAATATTTAAGGGTACTCAATGGCAAGATATGGGCATCAATATAGATGGAGAAAGATTAAATCACCTAAGGTTTGCAGATGATGTATTAATCGCAGATAACTTACAAGATACAGTTTCTATGATACATTCGCTTAAAAGTCTGTCTGAAAGAGCAGGATTAAAGATAAACTTTGAGAAAACTAAAATTATAACAAATCTCGTAATGAGTGGAAATATAACTATTGACAATAATACCATACAACAAACAGACACTTACAAATATCTGGGACACGAAATCAAAATAAGCAGAGACAATCAAATACATGAAATACAGAGGCGAATAGGTCTAACATGGGCAGCATTTGGCAAATTAAGCCATATTCAAAAAAGTTCAATTCCCATGTGTCTCAAGCGAAAGGTTTATAACCAATGTGTTTTACCTGTACAAACTTATGGAGCAGAGACTTTAACACTCACGCAAAAATCTGCGAATAAACTTAGAGTTACACCACGAGCCATGGAACGTGCAATGCTGAACGTGAGCCTTCGAGACCACATAACAAACCAACAAATCAGGCGAAGATCAGGAGTTCAAGACGTCATCGAAAGAACCACGACGCTTAAGTGGAACTGGGCAGGGCACTTAGCCAGAACACAAGATGGACGGTGGACAAGACGTATTATGGAATGGAGGCCCAGAAATTATAAAAGAAGCCGAGGACGACCACCGACTAGATGGACCGATGACATTAAACGTGTAGCGGGAAACTGGCTACAAGCGGCCCAATGTAGAGAACACTGGAAAGAACTGAGGGAGGCCTATGTCCAGCAGTGGACGCGATTGGCTGATTGATGATGATTCATGTTCACAGAGCCAAAATTAACAAAAAATACCATTTTGCATTCGAGTCGCAAATTGGTTGTAAACTAGTGAAATCAGCGTTTGCAAGAATTTGTGTACAAACATAGTTTTTGTTTCTAGTTACGGATTTATTTATATATAGTATATAAGAATTTTTATAATAAATAACATTTGATGCATTCTATAACTCAAAATATACAAGTGTTGAGAAATTTTGGTGTTTGAATTCGCAATCAGGATGCTTTAAAGTCCCCGGTACAGCCATTTTAATATCAGTCGCAACTTTTTTTTAAATTTCGTTGACTAGTGTAATTATTAAAAAATATAGGACTTCTTTTCAAGCTAGTCGATGGTTATGTTACATACATAACTATAACTATCGTTAGTTGTTATATGAAAAATACATAATTTTTTGGGCATTGTAATAAACTCTGACTAGCAGTTAGCTAGCATCTGATAGCCTAAAATATATTTTAATTTAATTTAATTTAAACTGTACCTACTTTTTATAGATATAACAATAAAGTCATTATATTCACATTACTAATGATAATTAATTGATGCCTAAATTATCGAATAGGTTAATGACATTTAAAGTACGTTTGATCTAATCCCAAGCTAAATAGTAATATCAGTACAGTAATTACTTTTATTAAATAGGTATCTCATGCCTTAAACAATCAGTTTGTTATTGATAACATAGTAGTAGCATAACTTTAATGTTCCATACATTGTTTGACGAAGATTACTGTGTGGTAAGAAAAAAATTAGTTTTATTATTTATACTTATACAAAAAAGCAAATTAGTAGAATTGTATTATAAAATATTAGTAGATTGTAATGTAGAATTTTCTTGTATAACAGTGGTAATTTTAGATAGTTTACATTATATATTTCCGTGATTAGTATAATCAAACTTGTAACTAGGGTTAGTATCACTAATACAATTAATATTAAACTTATTCATATTTCGGATTGACTGCATCCAATTTTGGTAGAGCTTTCGACTCCTATATCTGGAGTCATCAACAGAATTTCCGGGATTTCAATTTTCCGAGTCTCCATATCAATTTACGTTGCGTTATACACTTC